TTTAACACAGTTCTGGCTCCTGTTAAACTAGCAACCTTTCCCAAATTTATATTAATTTGGCATAATATATTGACCTGGATTTAATATAAGCAAATTCTGTACAACTGGTAACATTTTCATGCTGGGTGTCAAGCCTAACACAAGGAGATGAGATATGAACCGAAGTGTGCATAACAGAAAATGTATTTATTTTAAGTGGAAACTGAATTTAGAGTTGTGATCCTGCCCCTCAGTGTGGGCTGTGCAAGCTGATGAGCCAGGGCAGGAGAAGGGGCTGAGCACAGGTATTGAGTCCATTTCCCCATGCAGAGGGATTTGAATGAATATTTCATCAGTTCAGAAAGGTCGTGACAAATACGGATGTTTAAAAATACCAGTTATTGTAAAAGAGGTCAACATCTACTTAGAGTAGATTTCATAGGCTTTCAACCAGATAAAACCAGGCATTGCTCTGTGTTTGGGTGCTGTGACAGTCCCCTGCTGGTTCACCAAATCTTTTCCTTTCAGGGAGGTGGGAAACAGGAGCCTCAGACAGAAGAGATGGATTTGGTCAGAAAAGGAATAAATTATCCAACTAATGCTGCCAGTGATGCTGCCTATTTCAGATTTTTATGTGCTCAAGAGAAATATTGTGCAGCAGACAAGTAATTTTAATTCTGGAGCAGGATCTGAATAGTGGGGTAGGATTGGTGCAGCAACACTTCCCTGGTGAAATGTCTGCACCCTCGCACCTTGCCTGAGGTCAAATATCCCTGGCAGAATCAGCCTTCCTGCCTTACTGGTGTGATTTATGAGACACAAATTCATCCCAGGCAATCCATAAACATGAGTGTGAACATCACTGAGGAACAAAGTTACAGTTGTACAACCACAACACATCACAGAGCTGGGACTTCCCTGAAATAGTTTTCTCAGCTGCACGCAAAAGTCAAAGTACAAGAGCTGTTTTTACCATTAGCTTTGCTGTGACTTAGTAGTTGGACTGATTATGCACATGATTTTGCTTTTAAATGCTCCTAAACTGAGTCTTGTGACATGCTGGGTGATTATTGACTGAGGGCTGACTAGACTTTGGGATATGACTCAATGTCTCCTTATCTCTTATTCTACTTTAGAGCTGGTCCCTCTCAGTGTGAACCTGTGGACCTGTTTGAAAACTTGAAATATGTGAATGTCTAAACAATTAAAACACTTCACATTCCTATTTTATCCTACAGCACAGGTTGGGCTGTAAGCTCTGCTGAAAGCTTGCATTCAGCATCCTGATTCATCCCTGTGGATGTGGCACTGGAGGGCAGGATTTACTGGGGAACATGGTGGTGATGCTGGGCTGATGGTTGGGCTTTGTGATCTTAAAGATGTTTTCCAGCCTGAACAATTCCGTTATTTTGTGATTCTGTGTGAGATTTTCAATTCTGTGTTCTAACAATATTGACTTCAGTGTGTGTGCCCTGTTTCCAAACACGCCGTGACTGCTGGACCTCAAAAACGCTCTTGAGAACCCAGAACTACGTTTGGTAATAGCTGTGCAAAAATTTATCCCTAACAAATTTGTGAGCAGTTAAGTCCATCAAATCCCATGCAGATGGATTCAGCACAAACAGCCTGCACAGCTGTGAGCCTGTAAGAGTGGAGGGAGGGAGAGAAGAGCCCCTGAGCCCTGGCAGGATGCTTGGAGGACATTTCTTGCTAATGAGAAGCACTCTGTCCCAGGTGCCCTTGTCTCTCTGCATTCCAGGTGCTTTCCTTGCTCCTGTTCTTCAGTGCTGACTGGATCATCCTGGGCACATCCCTGGGACAGCTGACACTGCTGAGGACATTTATTTTTTTTGTTTGGGTGCCAGGAATGTGCAGGCTGGCTGAAGTGACAAATCCATCAGCTGCACACACCACCGCAGCACCGACCTCAGCATGGAGAACTCGAGCTGCTTTAGTGGACTGAAAAGAATGCAGATTTGAGCAGGGCTTGTGGGAGCTCCCAGAGACACCCTTTGGGTTTGCTGAGGGGCAGCTTTGTGAAAGGCCAAGGTGAGGATGGTTTTTGGGGCGAGGAAGGAGCTGAAGCAGCCTGAGATGGGGCTGGCCAGGGTGAGGAGCCTGCCAGGAACACTGCAGCCATCCCAGCACACGCTGACAGAGCCTGGGGCTGGCCTGGCCACTGCAGGAGGGCTGGGGCAAGGCAAAGCCTGTCTAATGAGAGCCCAGAACTGACCAGCATCAGTAAGAAATGCTTTTCTCGATGCTAGGAACACCTATGAACAACTTCCCACCCCTTGGTGCCAGACAGAAAAGATCCTGATCGCAGCCTGATAAGGGACAGATACAGTGGGCAGCACTGGTAATGCTGATTTGCTGCACAGAAAAGTCTCTTTAGAAAGCCCAAGCCTCACAGAGAAACTTCCAGAGTGAACAAAACCTAAAAATATTGAAAATAGAAACCAATAATTGCTAACCACTCTTTTATTTGTCACCCTCCCTTTATACAAACACAATACTCTCTGCTTCCTCTATTCAGCTATGCCCTTGAGCAGAATTTCAGTGGCATCTGTTAGTTTTTTAAGAGCAAAAAAAATTAAAAAAATATAGTTTTAAACCTTTTTGTAAGTGTCTGAATGGACTGTTGTGTTCTACACACATGCACAGCAGTTTCTGCATTCACACCACAAAGGAACCAGAAGGTAGGGAGCGAAATGAGCTGGAATAACAAGAGCTGATATCCTTGCTGTCTGCTGGATGCTGGCCAGAAAAGCCAAAGCCACCCACCACAGACTGTGAGGTATGAGAATTATTGCTGCAGCAGCAGCGCTGGGGAGGCTGAGCTGCCCCCCTGCTCTGCTCTGTCTGTCCACCAGGGTCACTGGCTCCAGCCCCAGCCAAAATACGGGCAGGCAACAGATGCTTAATGCAGACCCTGCATTCTAACCAGGGGAAAGTTCCACCTCTCTCAGCCACCTTTTAACTATGAAAAATCCTCATTTGACCTGAAAGTTCCTTTGAAAATGTGTGAATCTGGTTCTGGGCAAGATTACCTGACCCAGCTCGAGAAGCTGAGGCACTGCAGGAGTGAGAATTAAGCAGCGTCTGTGTCGATGTCTGAAGTGCTGCCAGTGGTGCTGATTCTGCTCACTGCCATCTCATCCCAGTGAAATGTGTGCTCTGGGCAGGACACTGACAGCACTTGCCTTATTCCACTATTACTGGCCCTATGACTAATATACTTGTAATTATTTCCCGACCTGGGGGCATCAAGCCTGGAAGAAAAGACCACATCAGTGCTTAGGTACTAACCCTCCTGGTTATACGTAAAAGGGAACAGCTCCCACTGTTCCTGCTGACTTCTTTTCCTAGAAATGAATGCAAGACTTGGAGAGAAAACAAACTCTGTTGATAGTCTCAAGGACAGGAGCACAGCTGAGTTCACGGAGCCCAGGATTCTGGCCCTGGTTCCACTGCTGTTCAGGAATTCTTTTCAGTAACAATTGAATAAACCTCAGATTCCTCCTGCTCTATTTTCTGCTACTTTGGCTTATTCTCCATTTTTTAAATGATCCAAATGACTCCCAAGTTTCATTATATGCCTTTTGGCATTTTACTTTGCCACAGTTCTCTTATGATCTCTTATTGCCACAGATTCCCAGAGCTCGGGGGTCTCTGGGAGCTGCTCCCACAGCTCCCACAGGCTCAGCGATGCCTGCTTGTCCTTGGGAACATGCAGTCAGTGATTTGGCTGCTGAATTAAAACCCTCATGCACTGCTTTGCTTTTTATTTTTTTTTTTTTACTGTTTTGGGTACAAAGTGGAAACTTTGGGTTTATTTTGGTATGTGCGTTTTAAACTTGACTGAAAAGCTGTAGCATTATTATCCATTAACTTAAAATTTACCTTTTTTCTAAAGAAGAGGCAGAGGTATGAAGGAGGAAAACAAAAGAGCACTCTCCAGGTTATTCTCTGTGAGAATGAGTCAATTAAATAAGCTGATATTTGGACAAGGATTTCCAGTGCATCATCTGAATTGTTTACTACAAAAGAAAGAGAAAAGTGAAGAAAAAACTCTGTTGGGAGGATGAATTCTTTGTGCTGCAGTGCACTCCAGTTCTGCCCTAAGCACTTCTGTCTTCACTGATGGGAAGTTGCACATTGGTGGCCTGAATCTGAGAGAATTCCAGAACTGCCTTTGTGACAAAACCACATCTCTAAGGCCCCTTAAAATAATACCAGCTCTCTGCAAATGGATCTCATTTCACAGAACCACCAAGGCTGGAAAAGACCTCCAAGATCATCAAGTCCAGCCTGTGACCGTTCCCCACCTTGTCACCAGCTCAGAGCACTGAGTGCCATGTCCAGGCGTTCCTTGAACACCTGCAGGGATGGGGACTCCACCACCTCCCTGGGAATCCCTTTACAATACTTTACAGCCCTTTCTGTGAAAAAATTCTTGCTGAAATTCACCTGATTTCCTAACTTTCGAGTAGCACTGTTGGGCTCTAGTCCTTCTCCTCCATAAATGTGACAAGTGCCATGGGGTCAGGCGCTCTGGCAAAGCTTCACAAACACCCCGGGCCTTGATGGAAACAGGGAGGGAGGAGAAGAGCAGGGCAGAGAGATAAATTAACAGCAGAAAAAATGAGAACAACTGAGGCTTGCAAGTTTACTGAAAAACCTATAAAGGCCTGGAGAAGGTAGAAGTACGGGTGTGAGCATGTGCTGGCGGTGATGGGCAGGAAAGCCTGTGAAGTTTCTGTGGCAGGGGTGAGGAGCTGCTCCCTCCCCTCCCAGCCCAGCAGCACAGCCAGTGTTCAGCTCACCAGTGTGGAGATTGTGGGCTCTGTTTGTCCACGCTCACTCCAAGATCCAACACCTGGGACTGCCCATAACAAATCCCTCTCGTAAGGATTCTGCTCCACAGGTGATGGATCATTCACAGGCTTCATTTTGTGCCAGCTTCATAGGGCAGAACATGCTCCCTCTCTATTCTCCAGAGTATTGGTATTGATTTCCATCCATCAAAGCAGCCCCAGAAGAATGAAAGTGCAATCACAGCAGTGCTGGAGAGAGTTACAGCCCAGGGCCTGGAAGCTTAGCGGTGGCAGTTTAATAGACCTGCCATAAATGAAAGGCAAGACAAAAACAATGTGCTGTGGGAACCATAAATATGTGATTATGAAATAACAAAGCAGGATTCCCAAAGTGCTAACAGCGTCCTGGCGTTCCATTTAATAACTATAAATCTGCCATGGCTCGAGTTAAGTGAATTCCCCTCCGCGTATTAAACTCTTTGTTTACAGGGAGAGTAATTACTGTGACTTTTAGTGCAAATCAGAGATGCCCAGTCCAGGGCATGTAAAACTGAACATGGGCATCTCACACTAAACTGAAAGGCTCCCTCTGACATTTGGGGAAAACTGCCTGAACTGTTCTCAGGCAGGAGGACCTGTCTGTCCCCATCCCTGCACAAACCTGCAGCCTCTCCCAGTGCGGTGGGGACAGGAAGGGGTTAAAATCTCCTGGCGGTGGTTGATGTGGGCAGGGATGGATTGCAATGTGCAATGTGTCAGTTGAAAATGGAATGGGGAGGTTTCCGTGGGAGCAGCAAGGTCAGATCCCAGCAACAGGAGCTCAGGATTTCTGAGTTTAACCTCGGTTCTGACGCTGACGCTTTCATGAGCTTGGAGAAACCAGAGAACTTCAGCATGGATAGATGGAGGATCAGAAAGCTCACCCACCTTACAAGGAAGTTTGGCAGCTTAATTTGGGTGCATTTCCTAGTGCTCTGCATGTGAAAGGTGCCGGGACATACACCTGATAACATTTACAAACAGCCACAGATAAACTGAGAATGCTTTAAAATTTGTTACAAATTCAGTGGGAGCAACAGGAATGGTTCAGATACAAGAAAGGAATGGGAATGGTGTAGAAAACCAAGCAAATACCATCTCTCAGGCCATGGGGCTGTCGAGGAGTGACAGCCTTGACTCACTTCCACCACAGGCAGTGAGAATTCCTAAGGGTGACAGGCAATTACCAAACGGACTCTCAAGGACACAGGGCAGCCACTGCCCAATGCTGGAACCTGGACTGAAACTGAGCAGTGGGGAATGACCTTAATTATGCCTCAGGAAGGAGTGAAAGATGAAAATTAGATTGACGTCAGTCTAGTGGTCCTCAGAAATAGTCACTGAATAGATGTTTGGGTGGGAAGGAAGCAAACTGGATAATGAAAGTGATTTTATACACGGTGGCACAGGATAGATCCTGGAGTCACCAAGTCACATACAGAATGAGGAACTCCTCGGCTGGTTTATACAAACCCTTCCTGGAATTCTTCTGAAACAAGAGGTTGCTCAGATCCTATCAGGTTCCTAAGTTGTGATCCCTGATGGAGATCAGAGGGTGGAGGAAACAGAAGAGTCCTGTCCTTTTCCCTTTCCCATGTGCATCCCACTCAGATTACTCCAAGCCCTGCCTGGGACCACACTGAGCCCTTCTGACCAACAACTGTGCAGGGTCCCTGCAGCAGCAGAGGAGGGTGCAGCAGACTCTGCCTCTCACAGCTGAGAGTAATTATGTAATTATTGTAATTATGGCAAAACACTGGAAGGAATCAGAGACCGGACTGGTTTACCTTGGATCTTTTCCTCACGTGAGTGCCTTAAGAGCACCACTCTTGCTCTCTACCCAGCTCCTAATTATGATCAACCTTAATATTCCCCTTTGCCAATACTTCCTTCCTATGAGATCAGTTCAAACGTGGCTTTTCAAACCCTCTCTTTCAAGGAACCAAACAGACCCAAGAGAGGTGTTTGGTGGTGTTTTTATTGAACACAATCTGCAAGAATGTATCTCACCTTATTTCCTCACCACCAGTGCACAGGGGCTGTGAGCTGCTCCCACACCTGGGGAGTGGTCACCTTATTTCCTCACCACCAGTGCACAGGGGCTGTGAGCTGCTCCCACACCTGGGGAGTGGGAGAGTAAAAGATTAAACAGATACATAAACATATATTTGAACAAACAAACAAATAAATAAGTATGTGTGTATGTGTGTGTATATATATATAAAGCAGCACTGAACAAATCTGAGGCATGGGGAAGGGCTATATATATATAAAGCAGCACTGAACAAATCTGAGGCATGGGGAAGGGCTGTGCACAGAAGGGCTGGCCCACTCAGAGGGACAGATTCACCGAGGGAATTCTCTCTTTCATGCCAGTAGCCGTACACAGAGGGAAAGGAGTTTTCTTTCTCCTTAAAAAACAACTTTTCCAACAGAGCAGCCCACTAACCATCCTAAGGAAAGGGAGAGATGACATAAAAAGTGATTGTTCCCTCAACATCTTTTTACTTTATTTACCATTATAAAGTAGCCTGTGCAGCTGTTGGTCCTCCATTTTCCTCTCAACATTTACAATTTCTTCCAAAAGCAGAAAGGTCCCACCCTCAAAGTGACTGGAAGCATTCCATGAAACTGATTGCATGCAAAACCTTCTTCAGGGCTGAGAAGAAGATAGAGCTGGATAAGGAATTTGTATTTCACTTTGCCAAATTAGTCAACACAATGAAGGCAGCAATCACCCAGTAAACACAAGGCAGGATCTGGCACCTTCTTGCAGATAAGGCAGCACAGAGGCAGCACATCCCAGGTACCCAACGGGCAGCTCACATGGCTTTGCACTGTTATTACTGAGGGCTGGAACAAGAACAGGTAATCTATTGAACAGATCCTTTCTCTGCAGAGAAAAGGATGAATTGGAAATACAATCAATTGGCCCACTCCACACCTCTGAGACACTCTGGGGTTTTTCAATGGAACTTTAAATATTTGCTCTTGCACTGGTAAAAACAACAGATTCCTTTCATGTTACTGTTTTTCTGAGTTCTTAAATTTTTTTTTTCCCCAAGAAGATTATGAATAAGACTCCAGCCTTCTCTGCAGCAGTGCAACACAATCTGATCTCTCCTTCTTTGAATTGTTGATTCTTCTGGAATTCCTCATGCCTTGTCAGGTTCCACCAGAACTGCAGACAGGTTGGATTCTACATTAACATCAGGGCCCAAAAGATTGTGGATGCTCAAGGACATGCAGAAATCACATTCTCAGATCCCCTCCCTGGCCTCTGTGGCCTTTCCTCATACTGGTCATGCTGGGGTGTGAAACAGCCCATTCACATTTCCTTGCAGTTTGTCTCGTGGCTTATTGACCCAGTGTTCGACGTGTTTGTGTTCCAGGTCTAACCAAATTATTTATGTATAAACCAGACCCATTATTTTTTGTTCAAATCAGTTTTCTCATTGCATTTTTGTTCAATGACAACCCAGTTCCAGGAATGGAGGATCTTCCAAGCCCCACTGGACCCGGCACAGGATGATGCATGACTGTGGCTGGGGACACAGGCATCTGCCACGTGTGAGCACAGGGACAGCAGCTGGGCTGCTGGCACCAGGAGAGCTCTGCAGGACTCTCTGGGCTTATAAAAACCACAAAGGCATTGAGGGGCTCCTGTTACAGGACGGTAGGGAGATCAATAAGGGAAAAGAAGGATCAACTGCTACTAAAAGGAGGAGGCAGAGGAGGCTCTCCTGTTGGACTCGCTGTTCTTCAGCTGCCAAAAATCATACAGTCTTTGCCTTTCCCTTGTCCTGTGGCAAATTCGTGGATATCAATGGGAAAATGATTTCTTGGCTATACTGTGGTCTTTGGGACATCCACATTTTGCATTTCTTCTAAACTTGTTTTTCTTGGGCTGAAAATACTAAAAACATTTTGGCTGGGTTGCTGTTGCTGTTGTTGCAGTTTTCCAGGTGAAAAGCAGCTCAGTTCAGGTCCTGTTCAGCAGACAGAACAGATTTAAGGTGCTCAGAGATCTGTTGTGAGGCAGGACCTGAGCAGTGGCAGTGGATTTGAAACAGACTGCTCATGCTTTGTTTCCCCTTTATTTTGGTAACACCAAACAGTACTTTGTCTAATTGCACAGAAAAGATGAGCTGATATGAGCTGTTGTGAGCAAGACTAGCAAAGAGGAAGGAAGCACTAAATAATTGGTTGAGTCTCTTGGCTTGCCAGAAAATAGGATAAACAAGGTTGGCAGACACCTCACAGAGACTGCAATGCCGGGGAATTCCATTTTCCTTTCAGGCTGTGTCCTCTCTAATGCAAATGCTTTGCCCAGCTTTTTGCTGCAGATTTACAAACAAAATGTTTATCCCCCAGCAGACAGGAGAGAAAACCTCCTCCCTTTCCTAAATCCAGGGAGATGGCTCACATTTTAACACAGCCAAAAGCCTCTGCAGAATGGATGGGCAGTGCAGAGCCTCTTCTTAAGGGATCAAACAATGTGCAAGCCTGAAAAAAATGCTGTGTGTTTGTGTGTGTATTTGTGTGTGTTGATAAGCTGGAACAGCTCTGAAATACACCTTGCTGTGCTGCTGCAAGGAACACCATCCACCAGTGGTTAATATTCTCACTGGCCATTGCCTGTAGGGTGCCAACAAGCACAGAAAGGCACTGGGTTAGAACGTGGTGCTGCACCAGATCGTTTTTTCAGGGTTACAGCTGTATCCAAATGGAATAAAAAAAAAATAAAAATGAAAAATTAAAAAAACCCAAGCTATTCATCAAAACAAGCAAAAGTGATGCTCTGCAGGAACTAACTGAGGCATGGCTTAACTCCCCACCTCTTCCTGCCAGCGGGGGATCACAGTGGGGGCAATTAGTGACCCTGGTAATGAGCTCGGCTTTCTGGGCAGGGTGGACACCAGGACAGCCTGGGGATCTGTCAGGATTGCAAAACCTGACAGCACAGAAATGGCATTTCTAGTGTCTGTTTCAGAACTGGGCTGGATATCAGAGGGGTGGATTCCTTGGGGGCAAGACTAAACAACAAAATACAAACACGCGCAGGAACTGCAGACCTCTGTGCTTAACAGGGAGCTACGTAACAACAAGAAAAATGTTCTCCCTTATTTTTCCCTTAGCAAAGCTGCCAGTTTCTTGATGTTTCAGAAAAATGAGACATCTGCTGATGATTTACAACCACGGAGAATTCCCAAGGAAACATGCAACAACAGTTTATGGAAGTGCCCAGAGAACATCACATGATA